GGCAAAATCGAGAGGGTGCAGAAGAGAGCGATGAGGATGACCTGGGGTCTGGAGACTGAGCCCTATGAGGAAAGGCTGAGGGCCCTGGGAATGTTTAGTTTGGAGAAGAGGAGTTTGAGGGGGGACATGATTGCTCTCTAAATACTTGAAAGCCTGTCATTTGGAGGAGGGCAAGGAGCTGTTCCAGTTGGCAGCAGAGGAGAGGACCCGAAGCAACGGGTTTAAATTACACGCAGAAAGGTACCGGCTGGGTATTATGTAAAAACTTTGTAAGCGCACAAGCACGGTCAGAGTGGTTCAAAGGTGGGATCAGCTGCCTAGGGAGGTGGTTGGCTCCCCTTCGCTGACAGCTTTCAAGAAGAGGCTGGACGAATATTTGTCAGAGATGCTGTAGGCTGGTCCTGCATTGAGCTGTATGGTCTGTATGGCCCCTTCCAACTGTATGATTCTAAGTGAGAATCGGGGCTGGCTCTATACAGGAGTGTGAGATTGGGGGGGCCCTGTCAGAGAGCTGGCAGAAAGAGGTCTGAGAATCGGTAGGGAGAACATCCACACACCCTTGTCCCTGCATCCTTTGGTGCCACTGCCAGGTACCCCTTCTCCCTTTTCCTCCATCACATCTGTGCAGAAATGCTCTGCAACAGTAACTGTGCCCCCCTCATCGTCCAGTCCCCGCCTTTCAAAATTGAGCCAGACTGTGAAGCAAGGGGGTCCCACAGACGTCTGCCTGTGGCCACCATGGTGCCTGCAAGCATATTTCTCGGTGGTGCCCGTGAAGCCTTTTTAGAACGTGGAAGGAATCAAGGGGGGCTGTTGGCCACTGGAGATTGGATTGGCTGTGCTGATTTGGCAATGCGTGTTTGTAACTGGGGGCAGTTGGCCACTGAAGCTGAGTTAGTGTGAGCTAGCGCACAGTTTTTTAGCCTCCGGTTCACACATTTTTGTCTCAGCTCAGGAAGGGAGGGCTCCAGAGCAAACTAATGTATGCAGTAGCCAAATCACCTGCTCACAACTTTCATGCCGGTCGCTCACCAAGTAGAATTTTTGCTCACAGGACTCCACAGCTTAGAGGGAGCGTTGACTGGGAGGGTGTCCTTTTTCACACTCCAGACGCTTGGAATCCTTTGAAAAGAATCAGGTTTGGCGTCGCCGTCTCTCTTTCTCAGGTTCCCGCCAGTTTAACCTTTTATCGAGGTTTCCCAGAAGACAGAGCGGCACAGAATCCAGTCTAATCAGATAGGGAGGAAATGTTGTTTGCCTTGTGAAGCCGCTCCCATGTTCTTTTCCAGTTCAGGAAGCTGGAAAGTGAAGGGTGGCAAAGCTGGTATCAGCTCCCGGAGAAAGTGTTCTGAGTCCTAAATTTGGAAGGGCCTTCAAAGGGCCCTGCTCTTATCCGGGAAGACCAAGCCCTCCTGAGGTCTCCACCCCAATTTTACAGTCAGTAAAAATGATAGAGGAAAGGTTAAGGCGCTTAGGGCTCTTTAGCTTGGAGAAACGACGACTGAGGGGTGACATGACTGAGGTTTATAAGATTATGCATGGGAAAGAGCAGGTAGAGAAAGAGGTACTTTTCTCCCTTTCTCACCATACAAGAACTCGTGGGCACTCCATGAAACTGCAGAGCGGTCGGGTTAGAACGGATAAAAAGAAGTACTTCTTCACCCAAAGAGTGATTAACACTTGGAATTCACTGCCACAGAAGGTGGCGGCAGCTACAAGCATGGACAGCTTCAAAAGGGAATTAGATAAGCATATGGAACAGAGGTCCATCAGTGGCTATTAGCCACAAGGTATAGATAGGGACTCTGGGGCAAGTGATGCTCTGTCTTCTTGGTGCTTGGGGGGGGGGGTCAACAGTGGGAGGGCTTCTAATGTCCTGGCCCCACTGGTGGACCTCCTGATGGCACTGGTATTTCTGGCCACTGTGTGATACAGAGTGGTGGACTGGATGGGCCTTTGGCCTGATCCAGCATTGGCATCTCTTATGTTCTTAAAGAGGATTAAATATCTTTAAGAGTGCTGGTTTAAAGACTGGCATTCTGTTCTTAGAAAACGGATATATCGCCTTCTGCAAGAAATAATGTTTTAGGGTTAAAATGTAAAGGGCTAGATTTTAGCATAGTGAGTTAAGGTTGCCACCTTTGGGTTGGACAATTCCTGGAGATTTGGGGTTGAAACGTGGGAGGGGTGAGGAGGGCGTAGTGCACCCTAGAAGCCACAAATATCCAAAGCAGGATAGTGTGCCTGCAATATTCTGTGATTTTCTATTCTTACACAGTCCATACTTATAATGGGGTTCCCCCCCCCCTCGCTTTTGATATTTGTCTACCATTGAGTCTTGGCTGAGGAAAAGTCCCATGACTTGAAAGGAGCAACATCCAAATCCGGATATCACAGATAGAAATCTCTTTGGAGTCTACCCAGAAATTTGTTTGTACTCAACTTACGTGGTTTTCCATTTGGACTGGACGTATATGGTTTTCCGTTTGGTCACTAAAATCTATAATTTTGGTATGCAGCCTTCTGATAAGCGAATGTGTTAAAAAGTGAGGATATTATACGAAAAATAAGGAAACGTAACTTGTTTGAGAACTTTATTTTTTTGCGCACCGTATCACAGTTCTCAGTGGGCCGTGTTTCATTGTGATGCCTCCATCTTGGCTCAAACCCAGGACAACGGGGTCTTTGACAATCGGGCCACCTATGGACCTGGGCATGGGAAGAGTGACCCGTGGAGCACTCCCCACACCACTGGGGACACTCGAGGAGGTCAGCTGCCCTCTGGGCCATTTTTAACAATGGCCCATGGATTCTTGTCTTGTCTGCAAGGACAGAAGGCCCCGAGGTTTATGGACTCCTGCGCCCTTCGGAATTGCCTCTCTGCCAGGAAAAGCTTAATTCCGCAATGGTTTCAGGGCATAAAGGAGTGGGGGCCGGAGAACTGGCCCGTGTGTCTCTACACTTCAGAGAGCCCGTTTGGTGTCGTGGTTAAGTGCGCGGACTCTAATCTGGGAGGACTGGGTTTGGTTCCCCACTCCGCCACTTGCACCTGGCTGGATGACCTTGGGCAAGCCCTAGTTCTGTCAGAGCTGTCCTTGAAAAAGAGCACTTTCTGTCAAGAGCTCTCTCAGTCCCACCTGCCTCACAGGGTGTCTGTGGTGGGGAGGGGAAGGGAAAGGAGTTTGTAGGCCGCTCTGAGATTCCAAGTGAAGGGCGGGGTATACAATCTCTTCTTCTTCTTTTACCTCACAGGGTGTCTGTTGTGGGGAGGGGAGGGGAAGGAGTTTGTAGGCCGCTCTGAGATTCCAAGTGAAGGGCGGGGTATACAATCTCTTCTTCTTCTTTTACCTCACAGGGTGTCTGTTGTGGGGAGGGGAGGGGAAGGAGTTTGTAGGCCGCTCTGAGATTCCAAGTGAAGGGCGGGGTATACAATCTCTTCTTCTTCTTTTACCTCACAGGGTGTCTGTTGTGGGGAGGGGAGGGGAAGGAGTTTGTAAGCCGCTCTGAGACTCCTTCGGGTAGTGAAGGGTGGGGTATAAATCCAATCTCTTCTTCTTCTTCAGCAGGGAGTGGTCCAGAACACTCCATTCTCTCGTCGAAACGTCCATGGGTTAGCTAGTCCTCAGGTTTCAGGGTGGGACTCCTCACTATGTTTTCTTTTTTCGGACTGTATTATCATACAATGAAATGCATGTACTGGAGCTTCAGTTTGAGGAAAGAGACCATTGTGTGGGGAGGGAAGTGGGGTTCGCAACCTTCAGGTGGGGCCTGGAGATCACTCAGTAATGCAACTAATCTCCAGATGACAGAGAACGCTTTCCCCTGGAGAAAATGGCGGCTTTGAAGGGTAGACTCCCTGGCATCACAGCCTGCTCAGCTCCCTCCCTGCCAGGGATGCCAGCCTCCAGGTACTGTACACCGTACTCCAAATGAGGTCGCACCATTGATTTATACAGGGGCATTATGATACTGGCTAATGATAATGGAGCTGCGGTGGCTCAGGTGGTTAAGATGCTGAACTGCAGGCTGTGGAAGGTCGGTAGTTCAGCAGTTCGAGACCCGTGTCCCGCAGGACGGGGTGCGCCCCCGTCTCTACTTCCAGCTCCTGCCAACCTAGCAGTTCAAAAGCAAGACATTGCAGGTACCACTTCGGTGGGAAGGTAACAGCGTTCCGCGCGCCTTGGTGTTTAGTCCTGCCGGCCACATGACCATGGAAACGTCTTCGGACAGCGCTGGCTCTTCGGCTTTGAAACGGAGATGAGCACCGCAACCCTAGAGTCGGCTTTCGAGGAAGGGAACCTTTACCTTTACCTATTACGATACTGGCTGATTTGTTTTCGGTTCCCTTCCTAATAATCCCCAGCATAGCGTTGGCCCTTTTTTTTATTGCAGTCGCACACTGTCTCGATATTTTCGGTGAGTTATCCACTACGACGCCAAGATCTCTCTCTTGGTCAGTCTCTGTAGTCTGCAGATCAGTTGTAGTTCCAGGAAATCACTATTCCCCATGTGAATGCTGGCAGCCATAGGTGAAAAACTAGCCAGTTGGGTTCACGGCAAAACCGGCACGCAGTCAGCCGCACTGCAGTGTCCTCAGTCCAAGTGAATTCAGATGGAAGATTGCTCTGTGCTCCCCAAGGGAGTGGGGCAACCCCAAGGGACCGCCTCTTCCCGCATGTTCCCCCAAGAGCGCTGCGATCGGGGAGTCTCGACCTCCTTGAGGTTCCGGGGCCCCGAGACATCAAGCTTGCCCTAACCAAGGCCAGGGCGTTTTCGGTGGCGGCTCCTACCTGGTGGAACGAGCTCCCAGCGGAGATCCGGGCCCTGCGGGACCTTGTACAGTTCCGCAGGGCCTGCAAGACGGAGCTCTTCCACCAGGCTTTCGAGTAGGAGCCGCCGCCGCCATTATACCACCACCGTGATTCGACCTTACCATCTACCCTACCTCTGGGAGGGGGGTAGATGTCGCCCTGATGAGGAACACTACCCCTGGCACTCACGCCATTACAACACCGGCCGCCAATGAGGGACATCGTGTATCTTGGGTACTTTAATGAACTGTAGAGCACCATTTTAGCTTGTATGTACTAATGTTTTAATGTATTCTATATTTTAATCCGGCATTGCTGCTGTTCGCCACCCTGGGCCGCTTGGGTAGGGCGGGATATAAATCCCAAGTAATTAAAAAAAAATTTTAAAGGGCCAGGCTAAAACAAATTCAAGCATCTGCCCCATCTTGTTCCAGATCTCGCCTCGGTCTAACCTCAAATCTTTGCGTTTCAGCAACAAGTGACTAATCATATTTATCTCCCTCGGAGCATTGCTGTAAAGCTTGCAGAGATAACACTGGGTAAATTCATTAGAAATCCGACAGCGGTCGCAATAGGTTCCTGGGACAGCGAAGAGGAAATCGAAGGGGGCGCTGTGCTTGATGGATTGTGAAAAGTATGCAGACGGAGAGTGATTTCAGCTAAGCATACCTTTATTTAGTTCAGGACAAAGACGAAGGGACCAGCTCGCAGGCTGGTTATATAGGTTCAGAAAACCCGCCACCAAGTACACCTAAACACACCCCCTACTCCCGATAGGCTATTTACAGTAACCGGGCGACCATTGGTCTCCCGGCTGAGAAGCTGGCCCTTTGATTGGGCCGGCTAGGATCCTACGGACCCATTGTCTTTGGACATGAGCTATTGAAGAGTTGTGCCTGGCCAGCCCGGGCAAGTCCGGGCATGTCAGGCTGAATACATTACACCCCTCCCCCCTTGGTTCAGAAGGCACCCACAGACGAAGTCCTTCAAGTAGGCGGGTGGCTTCTTGGGGCGCGTCGAGCGTCGGGGCTCCGGGGTAGCGATGGGTTCGGTCTCGGGGGCCCTGGGAGCCGAGGGGCCTGGGGCCGACGAGGGCGCCGAAGATTTTTCTGCAAACTTGGGTGCTCTCCAAGTTTGTAGAAAGATTTTCCTTCTCTGTCCCTGGCCCTAATATATGGATATAACAATTCATGTCTAGGTCCTTGTTCAGAATTAGATATAGGATTTCATGACTTGTCTACAAACTGGCTGCAATACATTCAAAGCATTAGGCAACAGCACCCAGAAATAATCCTTTGTGCCTAGAGATGTGAACGCCTGAAAAAAAAATGAAAAAAATTGGGGGGTAAACAGTTTTTTCCCATTTTTTTCCTGAAGCCTTTTTTGTTTTTTTCCAAAAAATTGAAAAAAGAAGAGAAAAGGGGAAAAAATGATTATGGAACATTTTATTTTAATATGATGAAAAAATATTTTAAGGCAAGGTGTTCAAATATTTTCCAAATAATTTATCAAAAATACGTATGGTATCAGATTGATCTAATTTCTGTGCACTGAGGACAAGCAAGTCCTAGGTTAC